AGTAACGCACAGTTAGGAGGCTGCAAAAATGCATGATTTTAAAAGAGAAGGAAAGACAGTCAGAGTCATCGCTCCAAATGCCATTTTCCAAGGGCAGCGTCAGCCTGTGGGTCCAGGTTGCCTGGCTGCCTGCAGGGATGCTTCATGCGAGCAGACAATTTTGTTTGGGGCCAACTAACCGAGATTGCTCTCGGCTCCTTTAAATGAAAACCAGCAGCTGTTCACAAGCAAGAGCTTTAGGTATCCTGATGTTTACGACTAAGTTTATTCCATAAAAGTGGAGTGATCCAGGTCATCTTTTACATTTCTGGCATAATTCCCCAGCATTATCAATTTCAAGAAGCACCACCACCAGCCTATATCTCATACTTAGGCTATACTTAAAGGATCTTTCTCTACTCATCACAGAACGAATTGTTTTGAGTAACCACGTTTTTTAAATCGAGCAAGTTCTAGGCGTTCCACTTTGAGTCCCTCTCTGAAGCCACCCCACTCCCCATGAGTCAATTCTCTGATCCCCCCTCAATTTACAAGTCAGAGGCAAAAAAGACTGCTGGTGAGTGCTCCACATGCACAGCTATGCCATGGCCGGCCTCCACCTCACCTGCCCAGCACCCTTCAGGTAAATATTACCGTCATCTCGTTTTCATGATTGAGATCTAAGAAGCCTGGGAGAGGTCAGGGAACTGGCCAAGGTCTTAAAGCCAGCGGAGTGGCACAGGGAGGCCAACTCCGAAGTCCAAGCTTCACCTACCGCACCTGCTCTTCCTTTCACTCTCACGAGAGGCTGGAAAACTTGTTACCTGTCCAGAAAGGACTCTTTTGAGCGCTTGTTTAAGTGTCTCAGGACCCTGGCCATCCCTTCCTCACACCTCAGTCCTTTTCATTGTACATACAGCCGTTATCTAAGCGACCCAGCCCACAGGGGACACAGCGGGCCCGAGGACTGCGCATTTCATAAACAGTCAGCACATCGGTATCAGCAAAACTGTAGGAATTTGATAACTGCAATGCTAATCAGCTACAAGTTGTTGGACAGACTTCCTATTGCTGGGCAGAGGAGCACATTTAGTTAACCCACAAGTATCACCCACCGAAAGCAAGAAGAGCATCCCCAACCTGGATCTCAAGCCCTGTGGCCACAGATCCTGAAGTAATTTGCATGGGAAGCTTATTGAAAATACTTTTTCTCGGACGCTGTTATAATCAACACAGAAGTTCAAACTGTAGAAAGCACTTCCTTCAGGCAGGAATCTTGTTCCAGATACAAGTCTGTCTGCTTCACCTAAAGCGAGAGCCTCGGTTCCCCGACCTGCTGTCTCATGGGCGCTCAGGCCCACGGCCCCCGGCTTCCCGGAGGTCCTGTATCTGGAGCTGCTCAGCGCTTTCCCTGCTCCGTGACCTAATATGCCACAGCCTAACCACTACCCAATGTTAATACACCGTGGCCCGAGCAATGCTTCACCCAGACAAGATCTTCCTTTCTTATGTGAATCCGGAATAATCCTATGGACGGCACATAAAGGGACGCTATGATCTGCAGAAAAGAATTTCTTAGCTGTAATCTTAGTTCGGCAATTTAGCTGTGGGAAAACAGCGGACTTTCTCCCTCTGTGAAAGCTTCCCAGTGAGGGCCAGCAAGATGCCAGTCTACCAACAAGGATATTTCTGTATCTGCAGAAATACCGATTCTCAGGAAAAGCAGCTTCCGGAGAGGATGTGTGGGACTCCCAGAGAGACAGAGGGGCCCAAAATAACATGCAACCAAGAAATGCCTTTTGCCTTGACATATTTACAAAGTTTTATTATGATGAAGTGGATACATATTTGTTAACTTCTGAATCTAAAAATTATTTTGGATGACAAAAAAAACCTTGGATAATGAATTTCAATTTAAACGCTGAGTTTTAATAAGTTGCCTCATTTCTTTCCCCATGCAAATGGGCTGGAAAAGGATAAAATTCAGGTATTTTTTCCAACCTGGTTTTGTTTAGTCATGCTTTCTCCAAGACATTATTAACCAATTTGAACTTTAAGTAGAAAGAATGTGGCTAATGAGGCAAAAGACCCCATGCAATGATCTACCCTTAATTTGACAATGGCCAGCCCTGCAGGTAATTAAAAGCTTGTTATTATGTTTTCAATGTTTAACTGCTCTTTATCTGCCATATATGTTCCAAGGGGGTATATCTTTCATAACCAGTGGGCTCTCTTATGAGGATTAGTTCCAAGGTTTCTTTACTCTCCTTGGTCTAGAATCCAGCTCCGCTACCAGGATTAATAATCTCTTCTAGATGGAAATACAAACCCCACACCTAGGTGTGACTGTGCATCTTTTCCACAGAATTTAACTTTATTTTTTTAAGTATATTTTTATTGATTTTTCACAGAGAGGAAGAGAGAGGGATAGAGAGCTAGAAATGTCAATGAGAGAGAAACATCAACCAGCTGCCTCCTGCACACCCCCTACTGGGGATGTGCCCGCAACCAATGTACATGCCCTTGACTGGAATCAAACCTGGGACCTTTTAGTTCACAGACTGACGCTCTATCCACTGAGCCAAACCAGTTTTGGCTAGAATTTAACTTTATTTACATGTCAGTCATAACATCATGTTTAACCATCTACCTTCCAAGCAACAAAATATGAAGGAAAATTGTAAAAAGCTGCTATAAATCACCAAGTACTTTTTAATCATTTATGTCAAGATTTGATACTTCTATTTACTAATTAATTTTCCTAATTTTCCAGCACTCAAAAATTTTAGATTTTATTATTTATACCACCATTAAAAAAACACATTAAGCGATTAATAGAAAGGCAAATTTCTACAGGTTCCTACATAGGATCCGTTTTTCAAAATACAAAAATATTCGATTAAGTGCAAGTCATCTGGAAACTTCTTGAATCCCTTCCACTCTTTATCCATTATCCTACTCTGGGCCTAATTTTCAATTTAACCATCAATATCTTAAAATACCAGTATCAAAATCTTTCCATATAGTTTTTAAACACCCCACACACACACACACTGAGTGGCCAGATTATTATGCGTTCAGAGATCATAATAATCTGCCACTCAGGGTGTGTGTGTGTGTGTGTGTTTCAGAGAGGAAGGGAGGGAGGGAGAGAGAAATATCAATGAGAAAGAATCATCTATCAGCTATCTCCTGCGCGTCCACGACCAGAGATGGAACCTCAACCCCTGTACATGCCCTTGACCAGCATCGAACCCAAGACCTTTCAGTCACCAGGCGGACTCTCTATCCACTGAGCCAAACCAGCTAGGGCCATACAGTCTTTTATAACTTGCCAGATACTTTCTGTGACTCCTACCTGGCCTACCTTTACACTTCTAATAATAGCCACTCTTCTTATCTATTACATCAGAAAACAGAATTCACCTTACAAATATTTGATCTAAGGCAGTGGCAGAAATTCAGCAATACATTATGTGATACAATGATAATAGTTAATACGCAACTAAAGGATACTCAATGACATAGCCTGAGATAGCTCTGAAAATAATTGCATATAGCCTTCACTGCAGGCGTGTTTGAAAATACATCTTTGCTGGGGATGGTAAGGTCCACGTTGGTCCCCAATTACCAGCATTTTAAAATAACCCTCAACTTCCAAAGTACTCCTAAGCAGTCACAAGCCTTGAATCACACAAGCAGGGATCTAAGACCTGGGTTTTAGTTATGATTCTACCTACAATACAGCCGTCACCTTGTGTAGGTCATCTGACACCCCCATGGCCTCCATATCTTCAACTAAAAAATGAAGAAATTGTATTAAATTTTCCTTATGGTCTATTCCAACTCGAAAATTCTATGATGGTGACAGGAGGAGACTTGACTTTGGGTGGTGGGCATACAGTGCCGTATACAGACCTGGTACACATAGAAACCGCACTTGAACCCTATGTGCTCATGTTGACCAATGCCACCCCAACAAATTTAACAAACAGAGAACAATAAAATACACAAAATTCTATGGAATTTCCGTCTCTTCATTTCAAAGATGGTAAAGACAAATTAGTCTAGATTTTTTTTTTTTCCTTAAAAAAAGGACACCCAGCTTGGGGTGCTTTCTGGGGCTGGTGTTTTATCTCGGAAAATAAACCGCAAATGAAAACGGCATCGCTAAAATAGAAAATCACAGACCTGGCCAAAATAGAAATTTCAATCACCCTCAGGCCATTTTGTCAATAGTTATTCAAAGGCGCTACTCTAATCACTGGCTTCCTAACATAGGGATATTTATAGAGTTGTGTCCTTCTCATCCCCCGAGATTCAACCCGAATAGAAGCACGGCGTCTGCCGTGGATGTGTAACTTCAGAGCAAGTTGCGGGGCCGGGAGGCTCCGCAGAGCCCCCGGGCGATAGCGCTGGGGTGGGCGCTGAGAGCGGAGGAGCGGTCCTCGTTGTAAGAAAAGGAGGCGCTCAGGGGGCAGGTGCGTCTGGGGAGGGAGGCACCTCTGCCAGGCAGGGATGGGCTGAGGACCTCCAGGCAACAGGTCTGGGGCCGGCCCCGCAGTCCGCCCGCCCGGGAGGGGTCGGCGCTGCCCGCTTCGCCGCCCGCCCAGCCCGACCGCCTCGCCCCCGCGCCTGCGGCACCAGCCTCCCTCCCGCGCCCCACAGCCCCGCAGCCCGGGCCCCGCGGCCCCGCAGCCCCCGCAGCCCGGCCCCCGCAGCCCGGGCCCCGCAGCCCCGCAGCCCGGCCCCCACAGCCCCGCAGCCCGGGCCCCCCAGTCCCTGCGGGCCCCGCCGCCCCGCAGCCCGGCCCCCGCGGCCCCGCAGCCCCCGCGGCCCCGCAGCCCCGCCGTCCCGCAGCCCGGGCCCCGCGGCCCCGCAGCCCCGCCGTCCCGCAGCCCGGGCCCAGAGGCCCCGCAGCTCGGGTCCCCCAACCCCCGCCGCCCCGCAGCCCGGCCCCCGCGGCCCCGCAGCCCCCGCAGCCCGGGCCCCGCCGCGGCCCGCGGCCCCCCGCCGCTCACCTGCACCTGTTTGCGGCAGCGGCACGGCCCGGGCGCTGCGGGCGGCCAGGAGCAGCAGCAGCAGCAGCAGCGACGCCGGCCGCCCCGGCATCTCGCCCGCCGCACGGCCCGGGCCGGCGCTCGGGTCGCCTTCCGTCAGCGCGTCCGGCCGCCGCTCCTTCCTCTCACGCCGCCTCAGCCGCACCGCGCCGGCGGCTCCGGAGCGCACGTCGCTTCGGCCAAGCCCGGCCCCCGGTCCGCACCCGCCGCTCCGGCCGCAGAACCACCATCCTTCCCGCCCGCCCGCCCGCCTCGCCGCCTCGCCGCCGCCGCCGCCGCCGCCGCCGCCTCTCAGCAGCAACGGCAGCAGCCCTGCGGAACCCCGGGCCCCGGCAGCCGCGCTCCCGCCGCCATGATGGGCTGCGTCATGTGACGTAGAGCGGGGGCGGGGGGCCGTGACGGACAGCCCCGCTGGCCAATGGTCAGCTCCGCAGGGCACAGCAGGCCCCGCCCACTAACCTGCCGGGGAGCGTGTGTGTCTGAGGCTGCGCCCCCTGCAGCCCGAGCGGTGCGTGGGCAGCAGGTAATACCCGCAACTATTTTAAATTTAAAACCACAGGAGAGCAGAGAGACAATAGGAAGCATCCAGAATCCATGCTGAATTTCTCCCTCCCTATTTTCAAACATGTTTTGCCTTCGGCCTCTTTTACTTGGCGGAGCCGTTTCAGGCTCTTCCCCTTAAGGAGATTGGCCTGCACATCCTATCCGCCGCCAGGGAGCTTTGGGCTTTTTATTTCAGCTCAACACCCCCTGACTCAGATCCTGAGTTCAAGCCATTCCCTCTGCCAAGAGTGCCCTTCCTGTCCCGTCCTGGCCACCTGGCAGCTCCCTTTCATCTGTCATCACAGAAGGCCACTCCCCAGCCCAGGAGAAATGACTAATGTGTCCTGATGCCCCGCCCGGCCCCCGACAGACTGCTCTCCCAGGTGCCAGGCTTTATCGTCCCCGTGACTGTAAGCTCCCTGAGGACAAGAACTGTGCCCTAGTCAGCCGGGGTCCCTCGGGGCTGGCTCAGAGTAGGGGTTCTCTAAAGGAAGGGTGCCTGTCCTATTCCTCTCCCCGCCCCAGCCAACAGGGGGAAAGGGTAGAGAAAGCGTTTTCCAGACGGAAGGAGCACCATCATGGGAGGCCTAGAGGCTGGGCAAACATAGGGCTTTTCTGGGAAACACACTGTAGTCCAGTTGGTTTGAATCCCATCAGACAGGCTCTACCAGCGGGAGCAGGGGAGCCTCCCCAATCCTCCGAACTCCTCCAACCCCCTCCCACACACCCCTCTCTGTGTGCTGACCGCGCTGGACAAACAACACAGGCCCAGAGAGTACTTGTCAGATGACCAAGGTGAGCCAGTAAACACCGAAGAAAACAAACACTGGCTGGCATGGAGATGCTGAGTGGCACGTCCGTGGTTATCAGCCGATCTGCACGTGGCGACGGGGAAGAAGGCGAAGGTCTGGGAAAGGGACGCAATCGCCCTGCGGTGCTCCGACATCCACCAGGAAGCTGGGACGTGGAGTCCCGGGAAGCCAGGCAACGCCCTCGCTGAGGCCGGAGGAGCTGCTGGGCGGCCCGTCAGCCGGGGACCGCAGAGCAGGCTTCCCATCACCTGAGCAAGCCCAGACGTTCTTTGAGAAACCCCCCCCCACCACCACCACCACTTCACAGACAGGGGTTGAGGTGCACATTCCTCAGAGGCTGTCTAATGGCAACCTTTACCCCCCACCACCACCCAGCCGGCCACTGACTTCCACCTTTGCCCCTGCTTCTCTTGAAGACTCCAGGCACATAGAAAACAAACGAAAACCTGCCGGCTCTGTCTCATTTCTCCTAGGAGTCAGGAAGTAGCCTTTGGTACAAATGCGGGATTAAATCCCAAATTTTTCTACTTAAAATACTTAGAAAACAACGTAAATATTTTTTCTAATTAAAATCATTTTACTGTTGCTGTTCCCTGTGCTTTGAGGTTACACACATCTGTTGCAGCTGTATAACAGAAATAGTGTGTTACACTGGCTACTGCACACCTCCTCCCAACCCCGGCTTCCGTGATAGCACGTCTGAGGCCCGAAGGAAGCCATGGTGGGAGTCTTTACACCATGGGAATTGGCCAGCAGTTCCCATCATCCTCCCAGGGAGCCGTCTGGCCCGCACACTGGGGGTCTTGCCGAGGGGACCCTCCACAAGGCCTGATGCCTGCCGCTCGCTGCCCCGAATCTTCCTTGTGGTCGTTGCTTGACTTTACTTGTAACGGCCTTTGGCAAATAAGGAGACCACACGGCCTGAGAGCCAGACTTCCCCTGGCTCTCTGCCAATCGAACAAAGGTCACATACCTCATCCCGTCTCACCTTCTGAATGCCTTTGCATTAAGCCTCACCTTTTGTTGTTATCCGGATCCTCTGTCTAAAACTGTCTGAGTCAAGGACAGCGCCCCAGGTGCATTTCAGAGCCCTGAGGCCTCTCCCATTTTGGGGGGGGGGGGCACACCTATATGGCAAAAATATGAATGAATGAATGAATGAATGAGTGAATGAATAAGTGAGTGAATGAATAGAAATAAGAAATGCTGAAGCAAGGCTCAAATACATGCTGAAGTGTAACAAATGAACACTTAATACACTACGTAATTTATATTGCACTATAACGATGTTATCCACAACATAATTACTTATGAAAAGTACACAACAGACAGTGAGATTCAGCAATGAGACTGCACTTCAAAATTGTATTAGGAATATATTTTTTCCAAGCTTATTGGTGTGTACACCTTCATTTGGAGGTGAGTTTTATTTGACAATGACTTAAAACCACTTTCTACCTGTCAGGCTCTTTGTAAGTCATAGCTCTTTAAGCTTCACCTAATTCTAAAATAGTTTCATCATTCCTAAAAGAAACTCGGTATCAGTGGTCGGCAAACTGTAGCTCATGAGCCACATTCCCCTCTCCCCCTAGTCCCTGTCAACCACTCATCTGCCTTTTGTCTCTATGTACTTACCTAACACGGACATTTCCTATAAATGGAATTAGTATACAATATGTGGCTCTTTATGACTGGCTGAAGCCAGGTTCCCATTTTACAAAGGAGGAAATTGAGAAAGAGAGCTAAGTACTTTGGCAAGGTCATGTGGCACAGGTAGGACCCAAACGCAGGCAGGCTGGGTCCGGAGTCCTTGCTTGGTCTCAACATCAAAACTGAGTGAGGCCCTAGCCGGTTTGGCTCAGTGGATAGAGCGATCCCCAGTGGGGGACTTGCAGGAGTCAGCTGATCCATGATTCTCTCTTCATGGATGTTTCTGTCTCTCTCTCCCTCTTCCTTCCTCTCTGAAAAAAAAAAAAAACACAAAAAAACCTGAATGAGGTCAAAATGTACAGGTCAAAATGAGTGCCCCTCAGGGGAGAGGCCCGATTAGGAGTTGCCATGTGCTGGGGACAGAGGTGGGGACGGGGACAGGAGCGGAGGTGGGGACACACTGCTGCCCTGCAGGCGGTAGTTGCTCAATAAGTACATTTTCCTCGTTGTGAAAGAGGAATCTCCTCCTGGAATGAACACTTGCATATCTTCCCTTTGGCCCGCCGGCACCTGAGTCCCTTCGCTACTGAGAAAGCCCGCGATAGGAATCTCAAAGTGGAAGGTGGCCTCCACTCCGGAGACCGGAGGTCAGACATGCCCTCTGGGGCCCCGCCCGGTGCAGAGGCATCCTTTCAAGTCAGATGTCGCAGCTCAGTTCCCCGGGGCGGGGGACCCGGTGACCTCCTCACTGCCCTGCCTCCCCCACCCCCAGGGGCTATGTAGGCCCTGAGCCCCCGTGCCCACTCTTCGGGGCCTGTCCAGAGCTCTCCAGCGACGGCTCAGCCCTGCTCAGCCTCTCCAGGATCAGAAGATGCTCACAGCCAACTCGGCTCCTTCCGGCTTCTGCAAAGACCCGTGGCCACTCCTAACGGGCGCCCAGCTCCCTGGGAGCTGCCCCCGGACCAGGCCCTCGGGCATCCATCAAGCATCAGTTTTATATCGCTGTGCTGGGCCCTGGCGATGCCGTGATGGACAGGACAGATGGAGTCCTCCCTCCTGGCGCTTGTGCTCGTTGGGCACAGAAATCACGCAACCTCTGACGCAATGAGTTGTGAATGTGCTGCTGTGATAGTGGGAGGTTGGGAAGGGTGTGTGCCCAACCCAGCCTGACCCAGACCTGTTTAGGGACTCCAGGAAGGCTTCTCGGAGGAGGTGACACCCAAGTGGCAATCCCAGGGATGAACAGGAGGTAGGGTAATAAAGGGATAAAGGAAGGAGCATGGGTTTTAATGTTTTCTCTCGGATGTTTCGAAGTGGAGGCCCTCACTGACTGATAGCAGGACCCTGGACAGGTCAGTTTTAATGGGGAAAGGGAAGCGTCTGGTGTAGACCATGGGCTGGGGATGCCCCATGAGCATGGCAGGGTCAGGCCCCGCGTGTGGTGAAGACACAGGGCTTGGGGATGACATGGAGGATGCTGACATGGAGGATGGCTGGGTTGGGTCCTGATTCCTCCCTTTTCTCCCCTGCAGTGGGGCGGGGGGGGAGGGGGGGAGCATCATTTCCATTTTTGGCTACAAGGCAGACACACACAGTCACACAGCGACACCTTCCCGAAAACTGTCACTTCCTCCCTCTGGGCACCTGCCTTTCCCTGGAGCAGGGCTCCTGGCTGCTCCTCACCCTCTCCCGGCGGCTCCTCCTCAGGCTCCTGCACGCTGCTCCCTGGGCCAGGATTGCACCCCCATCTCTGCCCGTCGCTTCCTTAGGCTCAGATATCCCCGGGGGCCTCCCTGGCACCCACCCTGACCGGCCCTCCTCGACGCCCCCGTCCCCCCAGCGTTTCCCTCTGCCTGGCCCAGCGTCAGAACGCAAGGCCCAGGAGGGGAGCCCTGCCCGCGGAGTTCCCACCACACCCCCTGCCTGGAGAAGCTGGCACCGCGGGCTCCCTGGCGGCCACAGCGAGCGGCCGTGGGTTCAGGCCTGCGGGACCCCGGTGGGCGAGGCCGGCGTGTCTGACTGAGGTCCCCGCACCGTCTGCAGCGTATGCCTGGGGCGGGATGCCTGTTCCCGCCACCTCTGCTCCTCGCCCGTCGTCCGTGACTTCCACGACCTAGGAGGTGGCTGTGGCGTGCTGGCCGGAGTGAGCCAGAGGCGGGGCTGCTCTCGGGAGTGGCACTCCGGGCCACGGAGCCAAGGCTGCCAGGCAGAGTCCTGCCCGGCCCCACGTGCCTGCCGGTCACGGGCTGCTCGCCCCGGGCCCGCAGAACCCGGGCTGGCTCCCAGCTCAGCCTCCTCTGCCAGCCCCGCCGGGCAGCCGGGAGCCGGTGGCGGTGCCAGGCGGCCTGCCCGTGCAGGCGGG